ATATATATATACCTAAATTCTTTGAAAAAAAGATAAAAGAAAAATAATACTCCCTCTGTTCCGAAACTAAATATTCATTTATTTTTTCACATAATTTTAAAAATATTAGTATTATATTGGGATATAGTAGAAATGACTAAAATAACCTTATTAGTACGTGTGATATAAAGGTAATGACATTTGTATAATATATTGTAAGTTGTAAGGGTATTTGTAATGTTAGGTAGATAGTACAGTTACTAAAAAAAGAAATGGATACTTTGTTATGAGACGGACTAAAATGAAAAAATAGATACTTTGTTATGGGACAAACTAAAATGAAAAAATTGATACTTTGTTATGGGACGGAAGGAATACTACATTTACTCTTTTTGTTTGCATTATTACTATTCTATGGTAGTTAATACTCCCCCATCCAATAATTAAATATCCGTTTGTTTTTTTTTTTTTCACGAAATTTTAGAAATATTAATATTATATTAAAATATAATAGGAATAAAGTAGAAATTACTAAAATAACCTTATTAGTATGGTGTGATATAAAGGTAATTGTATTTGTGTAATATATTGTAAGTTGAAAGGGTATTTATTATGTTAGATAGATACTACAATTACTTAAAAAAAAAAGAAATAAATACTTTGTTATGTGACGGACTAAAATGAAAAAATGGATACTTTGTTATAGGACGAAGAAAGTATAATATTTTAAATATAAAATTAAATTTTAATATAATATAATAATAAATATAGATATTTGATTTGATATTATTTTTTTTTTAAAAAAATTAAAATAGTAAAATCAGACGTAAAATTTTATGGGACATGCATAAGGAATATGATTTAATTAATTATATAAGTTTCCATATCACTCAATAATTAGTTCCTGTTTACTTAAGTATTTAAAACTATTTGCGAACTATTTATCAATTTTTATTTATTTTTAAACATATTACAATTAAATTTTGGTTTTAATTTTAAATATTATGTCAAAACTTTATTTTTCTTTCAAAATACAAATGCATTATTACTGTAACATCAAATACTCTATTTTTCGGTTAAAATTATGTTACTAAAAATTATGTTACTATTGATGTTTTGGACGTCCGTCAAACTTATGCAGAATAAATTTATAGTAAATAATTTTACATATTTTATTACCTTTATTTTAACCAATAATAACTAATTTATATTATTTTTCCTATTTACCACACTATTTTTTTTTTAACAAAAAAATCCTTTAATAAATTTCTACTTCCGTCACGCGCGTCAATATATACTACATTCGTCCGACTCTAAGGGTTTCATTTATTTTTTGCATATTGATCTTTGAAAATTAATTATTATATCAAAACGTACTACAGTTTAAGAAAAAATTGTAAAAACACTTCAATTAGTATTTTATAATACTAATAGAATGACATTTGTACAAAAAATTATATAAATATAAAGATATTTTTAATGTTAAGTACAATGACGCAAAAAGTAAATGTAACCCTTAAAGACGGACGGAGGAAATACATCTTTTCATTTTTGTCCGTACTGATGAGTTAATGTATACATTTTTTTAGTAACTACGAACCTCACTTTTTCTACAAACACACATATTTTATAATAATGTCATTACTTTTACATTCAAAAAGTAAAAGCAAAATTTTTTTACACTATTTTTAATTATCCACTGTAATTAAAATACTATTATTTTTTAAACTTTTTACAAAAAAATAAACGTACAACTTAATATAGGACGTAGAGAGTATTATTTTTTAGTTTCAATATCCAATAAAATCTATATAATTTTACTACATGAAAAAAAATTATCTATTTTCTATTTAACTTTTTACCAAATGTTCAACCAACTCAAATACAATGGTTCAATAAAAATTTTACATTAAAACCAAATTAACTAAGGTAATCTTCAACAAATGCTTTTGCAAATCAACACTTGATGTTGTTCAAGAAAATTAATAAATTGTTCGTTAAATTATATAACATCTCCTTGTGTTTTTAGTAAAAATGCATAAAATATCCTGTATTTTATTTATTGCATATAATCGTCTTGTGTTAATGTAAAGTTTGCACAAAACACTCTTCTTGTCCAAAACTGATATTTAGTTCTAAATAAATAACTAAATTACGCAAGTTTTATACAAATAAAAAGCAGAAAATATCTTAAATAATTTTTTTGCATTAAGTAAATAAATAAATAATTTATTAATCCTTCTTTTTTTAGTTTTTGGAGACAAATATGATTTTTATAAAAATTATAAAAGTAAATGATTGATCAATTATTTATTTATTTATTTATTTTATTCAAAAATAATTATTTAAAATATTTTTTATTTTTTATTTGTATAAAACTTACGTAATTTAGGTCTTTATTTCGAACCCAACATCAGTTTTGTATTTCATGCAAACTTTTCATTAACACAAGGGAGTTTCACGCAACAAATATTAATACAAGATGTTTTGTGCAATTTTATTTTTTTTTTTTCAAAATACACGAATGTGTTATATAATTTACCCTAAATTATTTTCTATCATGGGGATCATTGCAAATTAGCAATCAAATTATTGGAAACCCTAATTTTCTTTTTGCCCATGATTACAAGTAAATAAATAAATAAATAAATGGTGGAGGATTAGATTCATGGTCCCTATCAAATTTATTGATTTTTGTTAAAGTTAAAATCACATTATGAAATATATTCATGATTTAATGAAAAGGACTTAAATTATTTATTTAATTTCAGGGTTCAGATCCCTTGGAACAAAAACCTTTCCTTCAGTGGATTTCACATCATATACACATATACTTTTATTTATTTATTTATTTATTTATGAGTATTATTATTAAATTGTAGACTAAGACAAGTGCAAGCACTTGAGGTGATCATAAATCCACAGCTTCTTTTCTTCCATTTTAATAATTAAATAATAATTTTATAATATATACACTAATCATTTAATTACATGATTAAATTGAATAGAGATCTTGGATACTTATATTTTAAATTATAAAATACACATAGTTATATATATATATATGATATTTTTAAAATACAATATTTTAATATAAATTACACATTATCTTTTGTGTCATTTTACTCAATATTATAAATATTTATATTTGAATAATTTTTTATACAAATATCCTTCTATTAAAATATTATAAGACACTAATATAAATATTTATGTAACTTTTTTTTCTTAATTTGCTTTACATTTTGATATAATAATTAATATTAAAAAATCAAACATAAAAAAGTAAATGAGACTCTTAGAACTGTACAAAAGTATAAAAAAAATTTATTATTAATATTCCAAAAATGTTGTATATACGACACCCTAATCCCATGACAACCACCCCACAAATCTATACGTACAAATCAAATTATTATTATTATTATTAAAAAAAAATTTAAAAAAATATCAAGAGGACAATAGAAAGAAAACAAAAATGAGAAGAAATAAACAAAAAGCAACCTCCACAAACCTCCAATTTCAATTCACTCACCACCACGTGCACCTCACGTGCATACCCCCCCAACCCCCCACCCTACTAAACACTGTCTGTGCTTCAACTGTATATACATTACATAAATACATACATAGCTGTCAACATCTTTAGTCACATAATACACAGCCGCGACTTTTCTCTTAAATGCCCATATTTCAGACAACATAAATAAGTACATAAAGGCAGTATTAATTTAATTAATTAATATACCGTGCGTCCCAAAATTATAGTTTTAATTGTATTTGACATGAGATTTAAGCGATATTGATATTATATTGATAGTGGATAAAAAATACGGATAAAAAGCTTTTTTGTCCTTGTGAATATATTAGTGTAAAAAATAATGGCAATTGTGTAATAATAACAGATAATTTTATAATGATATGATTATTTATGAAAATGAGACTATTGTTTTGGGACAGACAAAATAAGTAAACAATACTATTATTTTGGGAGGGAGAGAGTATATTAATTGATATTTCATTACAAGATATATATAGTAAGATTAAGGGTATGTTTTTTTTGCAAAATTTCTCTAAATTTTACTATTTGGACTCTGTGTTTCCCGAAAAAAAAAATATTTTTTCTTCTTATAAAAATATCCTATCAAATATTATTTTCATATCAGACTCAAACAATTTTTTTTCCAAACTCATCAAAAGAAACACACCCTAAATTAATATTAACTTGAAGCAATTAATTTTTTTTATTATAAAATAAATATCATACTCTATCTTATATAGAAATATACAGTGACTCCAAGCCTTCCGGCCGTTGTCTCCGTCGTTATATCGATTATATTATTGATTATATAAACGTTATGTCCGTTTATATTCGATCAATTCTTATCGAATTAAAATTTTTATATTGATTGAATACGTTAAAATAAATATTTTTACCATCAATTCTGTTTAAAATAATAAAATATTTTATTTTTTTAGCTCAACGAAACCTTGAACCCCCTCGGTGAAGTAATTCTAGTTCCGCTACTGAAAATATATGTCGATGTACTATGCGATATATTGTATTAACATTTGTTATGTAAATTATATTATATTAACATTTGTTTTGTGTTATATATTGTAATATATACTATGTTTATTGTTTACTATATGACTATAATATTAATTTCTTTTTCAGTGACTGAGTGACTGTACTATCTACCTAATATTACAAATGTCTTTCTAATTTATAACATATTACACAAATGTCATTATTTTTATATCATATAATACTACTAAGAATAATTTGATTTTTTTATCTTTATTTATACTATATTTTAATATAATATTAATATTTTTAAAACTCCGTACAAAAAGTAAATGAGACGGAAGGACTATATTACTTCCTTCAGAAATTTGGCACGCGCTACGTATAACCCAATGAGCAATAACTAAAGTAATAAATAGATATAGTAATAGTAAATTGTGGATAAATTTTACGACATCCATCAGTTAGCAGAATACGATGTACAAAAATGTAGTAGTAAAAATTTCAGTGGTAAAATTATAGTAGTAGTAAATAATAGTTAAAAATTAAAAAAAGTCGTTCAATTCGTATACCATTTCTTCAAGAATTAACAAACAGAAATAACCCTATTTGCCTGTAGAATTGCCCTTTTCAGCTCTAACTCCAACTCCTTTCGCGAACCGGGTTTCTGAACAAACCCATTTATCCCTATCTGCAGGCATTTCTCCCTCGTCCCGCCGTCGTCCGCCGACGTCAGCGCAACGATCGACAGCCAGTTCCGGCTCCGAAACTTCCGGATTTGCAGTGCCACTTCGAACCCGTCTAAATCGGGCAAGTGAAGATCCAACAGCACCACTTGGCACAACGGCACCCCCGGGCCAAGCGCGCTAATGCATTCGTATCCCGACGATACAGCCGTCACGACGCAACCCATCTTCTCGAGCAATTTCCGCGTCACGGCCCGATTGACATCGTCGGCGTCGGCCAACAGCACCTTCAGACCCCTTAAAAATGAGTTTGAATGCGACGATTCGCCCTGCTCCGATATAACGACGGACGACGACGGCGGTAATTGGAACCGTAACACGAGACCCATGCCTTGATCGAACGCCTCGGGATTCGACGTCGCCCATATGTCGCCTTGCATAAGCTGCTAATCGACGAATTTGTAATTAGGTTATGACGACTAAGATCGGTTAAATGCAAACGACGGAAATAGGAGACGAACCTGAACTAATTTCTTGCAAGCGATAAAGCTCATCGTTTCCTCGTTTCCGCGCAGTTGTGCGTCGATCGGCGGAGACGAGCCGGCGTGCGATATAAAGATTTCGAATTTGACGTACGAGAACCCTTCGGACGAATTCGATCGCCACTGCCCCCATCGTTGCTCGGTACTTCTGCTAGCCGAATAACATCGAAACGTAAGAATCCCTCCTCCACCACGGCTTCTGTTCAACAGATTATCGACCATATGCAAGATCACCCGAAACACTCGTCGTTCATCGCCCACGACATGATTCGGCAACGATTTATCGACGTCGATCGAAAAATCGTAACTTTTGCAAGCAGCCAGGCACTTGGAGATGCAAGTCGCTTCTCTGATCATAGAATGCAGTTCGAATCGACTCATCTCTAACGGAAATCGATCGCTACCCTTCCCCGAAACATCGACAAGATCGGTTACCAGAGTCGAAAGAACGTCGCCGGCCTTAATCATGGAGTTGACGAGAAGTCTCTGTTTGTCGCTCAATTTTTCATCATGCAGGACGGATAAAAGGCCAGAAATCGAGTGCAAAGGCGTCCGTAAACCTTTGCTCATCACTGTCTGGAACGTGTCGCGAACTCGGCTCGCCATTAACACGTCCTGCTTCGCCTGTTGCAGCGCTCGGTTTTGTTCGACGAGCCGTTCCCTCATGAGTTGAGATTCTTCGAGCACCGAAGCGTGGGAAAGTGCGACAGCGACTTGATCGGAAACGACCTGGACGATCTCGAGTTCTTGGTCGCTCCACGATCGATTTTCTTCGTCGGGCAAAATCAAAACGAGAATCGCGTAGCTGACGGGGACCATCTCCGGTGTACCGCCTTTGAAATTCGCGGCGATCAGCATCTGCATCCGGATTGCCGCCACCGAACCCGGCTCGCCGATTCCGCCGCTGCTTGCAACGGCGAGGGGCGACTCGGGATCGAGAATCTTCGCCCCGTCGCTCTCCTTGATCAACCTCACATCAGGATCATCGATCGGGATGCTCGTGTCGTACATGTTCGACAAGCTCCGTTCCCTCAGCTGATGGGTTAGGTTCATCTCCGTATTGACAGAATTCGGCATCCAAACTGCGCAATTCTCCAAATCCAATGTCTTCGACAGCTCGACCAACGTGGTGTACAAAATCGTATGACGATCGAGCGTTTTCCGAATCTCCTGCGTTAGCATCCGAACGTGAAGAAACGCCTCGTTCTGTTTCTTTATAATCAAAACCTCCCGATCGAGATCCCACGCCTTTTTCTTCAACAGCAATTCCCGGACCTTAACTTTAAGCACGAGCGGAAATAGTGTAACGAGCGTAATCGCCGTCGCAACGGATACCAATGCCGTGAGAATTTTCGAAACCGTAAGCATAAGCATGAGCTGAAATGAGTGAGGGCCGTAAGTCCAAGAATTCAAGAGATGCGTCATTCCGCAGAAGCCGATGAACGCGATGAACTGAAAAAGCACCCATTTGAACGGGAAGTTCGAACAGCTGACAAAGTAAAGCAGCTCGATCGGGATCGAAAAGTAGGCCACGGCGATCAAGAAATCGCCGACTTTTTGGCACTCGAGAATCCGCTCGATGCTCCAAAACCCGCCGTCCTCGTCACAATTACAACGAAATTCATCACCCACGGCTACGGGAACCGATAGAAACAGTCGAAGAAACAACAACCACAATGCCAATTCTTTTAACATTGCTTCGATTCCTCAATCCATCTGAATCAATTTCTTATCTCATTTAGCTTCATCAACACACACTCCATTTGAAACCGAAATCGAAATTGAAATCGAATCCTTTACTAAGAACATCAAGTGACCTGACCTACACACAAAGCAAAATCTACAAACTCACAACACAAATCCATATCAAAATCACAGTAAGGCTATGAACAATATCTAGCAAAACGGCCATCGCCATGAACACCAAAAACTCGATCAGATTAAGCTCAAATTCCAATGCAGTTTAGCAGAAATTAACCACAGAGAGATGAATTTAAGCTCAGGAATTCAAACCGAACGATAATAACAAGAACAGCAAGTTAACCGTTAACCTAACTATCGAAGCCCCCAAAAATTGGGGAAAATCCGCCGAAACATAAAAATTGGAGAGCAATCGAAGGATTTACCTGATGGAATGAAGAAACGCAGATCCTCAGATCTTATCGCGGCACCTCATGCAGAAAATTTGGTGTGTACAGTGAATTGCATTGATATCATCGACCAATGCGAAAACCCAAACAAAACTTCGAGAAAACCGAAACCGAATAATAAATCCATCAAAGATCGACAGTCCTGCTTCGACAAAACTACACAAAAGAATTCAAAATCACTCCAGGACAATAACGAAATCCCAATGCCCCTACTGTTTCTTCTTCCCCAATCCAAATCAGCGGTCGGTTACCGGCATCAACACCCCTCCGATTTTACATTCAAACTCTGAAAACAAAAAATACGAATCACGCCCAGCCTGCATCCAGTATATGCATTTTTCATCGACACGATTGGATTTTACAGCTAGGCTTCTCACGCCAGAAATGGTGGCTGGCTTTTGGAACCTTTCCTTTGACTCTCTTGTATTCTTCTCTTGTCCCTAACAAATCTGTGCAAATTTCAAAAGGGGGAAAAGTACTTACAGAGGGATTGGTTGATTTGGGGATTGGTAGAGAGAGAGAGAGAGAGAGAGAGAGATGAGCAGCCTTGTTTGAGAGAGAGAAAAGCAGGCGGAGGAAAAACTTGGTAGGAGAAGTAATGGAATAAAAATTTGACGAAAGGGGGAGAGAGAGAGAGAGGGAGGAAATCTAGGGAGTAGGGTGGGGTGGGGGGTGCGGGGGGTGGTGAGGTGGGGTCCATGGGGAGTATACATGAAGAGAACTTGGACGCACTTTTGTTCAATGAAAGAAACGTCTGCTGTCAGACCCCCTCCCAAAAGTACGACGCTAACTTATTTATTTTTATTTAATTTTTTTATTCTTATATTTATTTATTTATACATTTATTTATGGTGGGGATTTTCTTAATTATATATCGTTTATAAAATTGAATATATGCATATATGGCAATAATTTAATATTGAATGATTAAGGTCTCTTAAGTTTGGTTTAATTTTTTGATAGCGCAAATTTCAAAATTTTAGTATCCTTCGGGTGTGTTTGTTCGGGGGATTGGATTGGATTTACACTGTTCATCCTATTTTTTTTTTTTTAAAAATATCAAATCAAATACATATTTTTTATTTTTTATATTATACTAAAAATTAATTTTATATTAAAAACATCACGTCAATATCTATTTATATCATATCATACAACTATTCAAATTCAAAATTTTTACTATTCAAATCCCAACTCAAAATTCAAACCACCAAACGAAGACACCCATGTGTTCCAGACATAAGCTATAGTTACTGTGTTCAATTAAAAATTCTAGTATAATGTATTCCTTTTTTTTTTTTTTTTTACCGAATTCGAGAATTTAGAATAAATATATCATTCGTTTCATCATAACTGGTTCATTTTTTTTTGTTCGTTTGATAAAAAACCAATTTTGTATAATATATTTATTTATTTTAAATATACTTATAAATATAGATCAATTTAATTAATTTTTTAACCTCTTACACTTAAGGTGTGTAATATTTTCCAAATGAAAAGTGATATTCCTCCTTCGTTATTTTAGTCATTTCTATTTTATTCATACTATATCATAATATAATGCTAATATTTCTAAAACTACGCGCAAAAAACAAATAGATATTTTTTTATGGGACGAAGGAAATATAACCTATTTCTTTGGTATTAGTTTGGGAAACGAATAGAACCGACAATGATAACACGTAGGTGGGACAGAGAGAAAAATATTGGGCTTGTTTGGTTTTGATATGAAATAGCATTTTTTAATTTAAATTTTAGTTTAAATAATATTTTATAAAAAAAAATCTCATATTTTACCGAGAACCAAAACACATCATATATCCTTAAAAAGCTTGTGTTTGTTTGGGGATTGGATTTTAAATCTATTATTCATTCCATTTTTTTCCTAAAAATGTCAAATCAAATACGTATTTTTTATTATATATATTATACTAAAATCAATTTCACATTCAAAACATCACATCAACACCTATTTATATCACATTATACCACTATTCAAATTCAAAATTTTTACTATTCAAATCCCAACTCAATCCAAACCCCCAAACAAATACACCTAGGTTAGAAATTAATATATGATTGAAATAAATTTTAAATATGTGTAAATATTTTAAATATTATATTTCAATAAAAATATATACAATATAAATATAATTTTATAGATAATAAAATTTTATATATGACAAATAATAAAATATATTTATTTATTTATAATTACGACAAATTAATTTTATAAAAAAATGACGAGTTTTAAATATAGATAAAAATATTTATTTATTAAAAAAAAATATAAATTATGAAGTTAATTAAATTGATTTATATTTGTTAAGTATGATTCGATTTAATAAATTTTTATCAAAAATAGAAACACCACAATAGAAGTAGGACAAACAAAAAGAAAGAGGGAGTATAAATTATTCTAAAACAGTGGAAAATAAAATATATAAATATATATATATATATATAATCAAAATTATATTACCTGAAATGTGAAAACTAAAACAAAATAGGATAAAGTAGCAGTATTAAATTTTATTCGAAGAAAATATCTTTGATTCTTTGTTAATTTTTTATTTGATATATAATTTAAATAATATTTTGGGTAAAAAATATATATTTTTTTATTTTGGATTTGACTCATTTTATTATTTTAGGATTTTAAATTAAATATATTTGAAATAGTTTTGCAAGTAAATTTTTTTCGCTAAATAGTCATCCGGTACCGGTTTCGCTATGCTTGCTTGCCGCCGATGACGTGGCGCCGACACGATTGACATATCATTGTCATGTCAACAATATGTGAATATTTAGATTTTGTTTTTAAAAAATGATTTGTTAAATTTAAAATCACTCTCTTTCTCTCTGATTATAATATCTAAGTCTGATTTCATATTATTAACTGAGCTTCCGAGTTACACGCACAACTCGACTCAACTTAACTCAATTCAGTCATCCCTTTGAGCTTTTCTTTTGGAGGTTGAAATATTTAAAAATAGTAATGAAATCGTACATATAAACAAATACTTTTCCGCTAAATTTATTTGTATGCACTTATTGAAGTTTATTATACACCTCTCCATCCGTCATTTATCAAATTTTACAATTCAAGGGTTTTTTAAGGCAACAATGGTTGACAAATTCAATGAGGGGAAGAAGATATACATCACAGAAGGGAATGCAACCGCTTTGTTGGAAATGTAACCTTTTCATTTCTTTATTTTTGTTTGTTTTTTTCTCGAAAATTTTCGGTTTGTTTCATTTGGGGGTTTTTATTATTTTTCAAGATTTTTGTAGATACTCACTGTCGACAGTGCTAGCTTTGCTGTGAGAGGTGGCGTAGGTGGACAAACTTTTTTTTTTCTTTTTTTTTTTTTCAAATCACTATTATGTTTCAAATTACCTTTAACAATTGTAGAAGCGATGTAATTGGTTTATTATTCCATCTTTATCTTAAGACTGTTGAATTCATATTTTCACTCATCGATATTTTATTAAGTGATTCTTTGTGAACATTCTATGTTTGATTGTGTCTGTGATTGATCGATTTTGATGCTGATTATGTTTTGAATAAAACATTTGATATTGTCTAGGTGTGGTGGTTTATACATTGAATTTCATATATTTTTGTAAGTTTCTTACTACCCAGTATGGTGGTTTTTATGTATCATTTATAGTGTTTGGTGTCATATCTTGATGTCCTATGTGGTAGTATTTATGTTATTTTCTATGTTTGTTGTTATATATGATCTTTTCGTTGCATTTGATAAATATGATGCTTTACTGTTTAAAGACATATCGATTTGTACAAAATTAAAGAATAACAACATTTTAATCGGGATGGTAGGAGCCATTTTATGGACTGATGGTTGGTTTTTAGTGAGAATGAAATACCATTGATCTTTTTATGTGACAATGATGACATTTATTTAATAATTGAAAATTTGAATCAATTTTGCATTATAAAATACTATCTAAGTCATATGTTAACAATGTTACATGTGTACACAATAATCTTTACAAAAATGCATAAAAAGCATGACTAAAATGTAATTCATGTGGATATAACATATGACTATTTTTTCACAAAGAAAAAAAAAACTAACTATTTTTGTCTCATGCAAGAGTTATATTTAAAATGGGATAAATGACTATATCTTATACCTCAATTCCCAACCGGTCAACAAAAGAATGATGTAGTAAAATTTTCTTTAATCCATAAAAAGTATGTGAGACAATTACTAAATCTCTCGTACATTCAAATATCTATGTAAAACATCTTATTCAATTAAAATGTCCTTCATATGCGAAATTTTATATTTGTTGTGTCTTTTAGTATTCATTATTTCTATCATACAATCATGAGAGCTCAAGAAAACCTTATTTAGTTTTTCAACTATTAATTCTTCAAAAGATAAATGATTTGCATTCACTATTTCATCTACATTGTTGTAATCGTTTTCGATTTGAATGCTTTGTATACCTTGAAACAACCTAAGATCATTCACATTCAAGTTTGAAGAGTTGAGTGGATGTTTCACAAAATAATGTCAAAATCACTACTTGTGGCAGCATGTATGAATTTTGCACTATTATTATTATTATTATTATTATAATATATGGTATGGAATTATCTTATTAATATAATATTCTTTATTCATATTTATTGACAATTATATATATGACTAAAATAATGGTATTATCTTATTGAATATAATATTTTTTATTTATATTTGTTGGCAATTTTCTACAGATGACTAAAATAATCTATTAAAACATTAGAAAAGAAGTGATTTTCAAAATCAATATTCAAAACTCAGTATATGCATATAGTGAAGTAAAATAAATTGATTTGTACTAATTTGAAGCTAACATTATTTACCATAACATTTGATGAATTTAAATACTTATATACTTACATTGTAGTTTAAACAAGTTTTAATTATATCATTTGTAATTGCTTCAATAATTTTGTGATTAGTGTATCTACTACATAGTTTTTATTATTATTTTTAGCAATCTCATTGCACTGTGAATAGGAATGTGTCAATTCTTTCATGAAAAAAAAAAAAAGAAGAGAAATTGGACTGTCCAACTGAAGATGCACGTATGGACATAATTTGATTATAAATATTTGGGTAAATTATATAATACCCCATTGTATTTTAGTAAAAATGCATAAAACACTTTTTGTTTTATTTATTACGTAAAATCCCTTATATTAATGTAAACTTTGCATGAAACACCATCTTTGTCCAAAACTAATTTTTGATTCTAAATAAAGACCTACATTATGCAAGTTTTATACAAATAAAAAAACGTAAAATATCTTAAATAATATTATTGAATAAAATAAATAAATAAATAATTGATCAATAATTTATTTTTATAATTTTTATAAAAATCAGATAATAATTTGTCTTCAAAAATTATAAAATGAATAATTAATCAATTATTTATTTTATTCAAAAAAATTATTTAAGATATTTTGTATTTTTTTATTTGTATAAAACTTGCATAATTTAGGTCTTTATTTAGAACCAAATATCAATTTTGAAAAAGGAGGGTATTTTGTGCAAACTTTATATTAACGTAATTGAG